CCACCTCCACCTCAAGTACTAGGATTATCAGTGTGAACCACCACACCTTGCTCAGTCCAAGCCCTTTTTTAACTTATTGCTGACTGCCTCTGATTTTAGACATTTGAATGATTTTCATGATACTTTTGCCAAGTGCACCATTTTGCTGTGACAACTGAGTTTATATTTTAATGGAAAATCTTTATGTACTTAAACATTATCAGTTCATGATAACTTATGAAAAAATATTTTAACCTGATAGATTATTTAATTCATTTTGAAATTTCAGGGTGTGCTGATGGTTGGACCTCCAGGTACTGGTAAGACCATGCTAGCTAAAGCTGTTGCTACCGAATGTGGGACAACATTCTTCAATGTCTCCTCTTCTACACTGACATCTAAATACAGAGGTGAATCTGAGAAGTTAGTCCGTCTGTTATTTGAAATGGTAAGTGATGATGGATGTGGATTTCAGAGTACTGTTTAATGGGCCTATACTGACTAACAATCCAGGTCTATTCACCTAGAAGTCTTTTAAAAGATGATGAAATAGATTCTATCAGTATAGTTTTATTGTAACAGTTGCGCCTATACTTGTGGTGGTGGGTTTTGTGGGGGTACTTGGCATATCCTCAGTGTTTCTTCCTCTTTGAGATGAAAGACAACCCTTTGACATCCTCTCCAATGAGAAAATAGATTTTAGGATGTGTGAGTGTTTGGCATTTCTGGATGTCTAGTGCATTGATGGTATAGCAGAGTATTTTAATACACATTTTAAAAATCATCTAGAAACTGAGCTGTCATTAGTGATTTTCATTTAAAATTGCTTTCAAGAAAAATTGTTTTCATGATGGAAATTTCTCAGCATAAAACTAGAAATAATAATACAATGGATCTCTATGTATTTATCACCCAGCCTCACCCACCATATACATTTTATTTTTACACATCTTTTTCCTGAAATGAGCAATTGATTTAGCCTGTGTCAGTAACTATCTGGTGGTGGTACTTCAGTAGAGAGAAATTTCAGCTTTCATTTGCCGTCATTTGAAAAGCTGAAAGATTTATACAATCTGAAGAGAAACCAGAATATTTGCCAATATTTTAAAATGAGAACAATGTTATTTAAAATATTAGATCGTTTTGTGAGATTACTGAGTGATACTTTAAAATATCTTCCCAAAGGCTAGGTTTTATGCCCCTACCACAATCTTCATTGATGAAATAGATTCTATCTGTAGTCGGAGAGGAACCTCTGATGAACATGAAGCAAGTCGAAGAGTCAAGTCTGAACTCCTCATTCAGATGGATGGTAATTGATGTTTAATGATTGTCTTAGAATTGTCATTCCTTTTGAACTTTGTTTAGATTTATGCTTTGAAAGTTCGTAAATGGATTAAAAGGCAGCTGTAATGTGTTTTTAATCACTTATTCACCCACCTACTTGTTCATACATTCAAAAAACACTGAGTACTTACTGAATCATACACCAGCCCAGGTTCTATGTTACTGAGAAAAAGGACTGTCATGGACTTCAGGGAGTTTACTATTAGAGCTAAGGCCCTAAAGGTATGATCTAGAGTCCTGGGAGCTGTCAGACCCTTTGAAATGGTCTACAAAGACTGCACTGTTTTAATAATAGTATCAAGACATGGTTTACTGTTTCTTACTTTAGTTCTCTCACAAGTATATGGTGGAGTTTTCCAGAGTCTGCAAGATACGGGAATGTCGTAAAAGATGCAAAATAGAAGCAGATGGGAGAGTCTAGCTGTTCTCTTATTTATACAGGCATTGAAACATGTTTAGAAATCTTAATAATTTTTGAGAAGTTTTGAAAAGTTTACTTATTTTTCTTAAAATTGGTCATCTATCCTAATGAGTCGTAGATTCTCACTTTATAGTGAATATTTTGAATATTTTTGTTATTGTTTGATTGATTGTGTTGGGGTTGGAACCCAGAGCCTTGTGCTTGATAGGTGAGCACCACTGAGTCAACACCCCAGCTGCCCTTTATTTAATTTCTAATAGTAAATATTCATTACAACATACACACACACACACACACACACACACATCTCTTTGGCGCACTCAATAATTTAATGTAAAAAGGTTCTAAGACTCAAACCTTTGAGGCCCACTGCTACATGAGAGGTGAGGAGGTGATCAGAAAATTACACTGTAAGTGGTTCTTCTGTGGTAGAAGAATATTTTGAGTTCAATGAAAGTATGATAGGAGTCACTGTAATCGGGGTAAGAAAGTTGTGGAACAGGGTAGCTCAAGTGCTTTGAAACATTGACTAGAGTTGTCCAGACAAAAAAGAAAAGGCATTTCAGGAGCCATAGATAGAAGGGAGTTAGGAGCTCAGAGCTGCTTTCTAGAGGTAGCTTCCTCTGGTAGTTGTGTGAAACACAACAGGCAGTTTAAGCAGACCATGAGAAAAGATTTAAAATGTGTTTAAAATACCCAGAGTATAGGGACAAGAAAGATGGCTCGGTGGTTAAGAACACTGGCTGTTCTTGTAGAAAACCTAGGTTTGGTTCCCAGCACCCAGTTGGTAGCTGACAGCCATCCATAGCTATAGTTCCATGGGATCTGACACCCTCTTCTGGTCTCTGTGGGCATTGCACACATGTGATGTACTTATATGCAGACAAAATACTCATACACATAAAAGAAAAATAAAATCTTTAAAAATAATCCAGAGTGTATTATTTCAAATTGTCCACCAACTATGGATGCTTAAAACAAATACTTACATTGTATGTTTTACGGTGCCAGGCACTAAAAGACAAAATAATGTTTGCACCGAAAGTCTTTTCCTGCAGTCAATTTACTACTTTATTTTTATGTAAATATGAAAGAAAGGAATATATTTTATTTGGGGAAAAGCATTGGGTAAAACATAAGCTGTTTAAAATTGAGGGGGAAAATCATGTAATACAATTTCACTGTACAGTGTTTTTGACTGCTGATTATTAGTTGAAGAAATATATTTTTGTGACAATAATTGAAAAGGAATTTAGCAATAATTTATTTAGAAAATGCATATTGAACTGGGTTGCTCTAAGTCTACTACTTTGATCATCATAGCAATAAAGTTGTGAGTTTTATATGTATGTACTATATATTTCACTATTGTCCAGAGTTAGTTAGTTGTGAAACCTGGAATTTTTTTTTTTTTTTTTTTTTTTTTTTTTTTTTTTTTTTTTTTTTTGGTCTTTTTGAGACGGTCTTCCTGTAGCCCCAGCTGTCCTGGAACTCACTTTGTAGACCAGGCTGGCCTTGAACTCACAGAGATCTGCCTACCTCTGCCTCCTGATCGCTGGGATTAAAAAGGTGTACGTAACCACGCCTGGTGAAACCTGGATTTTTTTATCCCAGCATTTTAACACTATGCAGTGTTTTCATCCATGTTTCATGATTTTTATTCTTTTTTTTTTTTTTTTTGGTCTTTTTGAGACAGGGTCTTGCTGTAGCCCCAGCTGTCCTGGAACTCACTATGTAGACCAGGCTGGCCTTGAACTCACAGAGATCCTCCTGCCTCTGCCTCCCAAGTGCTGGGATTAAAGGCATATGCCACCATGCCCGGCATGATTTTTATTTTTAACTTTCTTCTCTTTGCTATGTTTTCACAAATCATGTAAACGTTCAAAGATAAAATCATTGAAATATAACCTGTCTTTCAAAGTTTTGATTCCATGACACAATATTAAGTAAATGTGAACTCTTAGCTTTCATTACTTCTTTAGAAAACCAAATGAATTAAACCCCAGACTAAAATTTTTGAGGCATTTTACAGTGAAAAAAATTAAAGAATAGAATAGAGCCCAATTCTTCTTTAGAAGAAATATGTGTTATTTTTCATTGGTTTGTCTTGGATTTGAAACGTTGTGACCTAGACTATGTGGATTCCTTTGCTTCCTTGTTTTGTAGCTATGTTATATGTTAATGTCTGGCTTTTCCATTGTATAGAGGTCACAGAGACTGTGAAGTTCTCCTCACTGAGGTTACCACCAGGTATTGTGGCTAACATTTAGAAATATTAGCTGAGTGAAACAGTTTAAAGGGCTATAATAAAACACTGGCAATCATTTCCCTGCTTACTGTTCTAGGAGTTGGAGGAGCTTTAGAAAATGATGATCCTTCCAAAATGGTGATGGTCTTGGCTGCCACTAATTTCCCATGGGACATTGATGAAGCTTTGAGAAGGAGACTAGAAAAAAGAATCTATATCCCTCTTCCAACAGGTAGAGTGCCTTCCTTTTACTAGATTTTGAACTTTCTGTCATTTCCTGTTACCTTTTTATAGTTATCTGCATGTTCGTTTTGTTGTCATTCTGTTTCAAGACATTTATGGCATTATGAAGCCAGTTTGTAGTAGGTGGAAACAGGCCACAGTGTGCTATTGAAGTGCTTTTCATTTCCAAGAAAGTTTTAGCTTCAGAGCATTGTTTGTGTTAATAAGTTTGGTAGCATTTAAGTTTTTACTTTTAAAACAGAAAAGTTTCATTAACCCTTAAGTATTAAAAACAAAATTGGCTTAGAGCATTTTAAGGTCAGGTGTCGTAGCAAATGCCTTTAATCCCAGCACTCTGAACATAGAGGCAGGTAATCTCTGTGAGATTGAGGCCAGCCTGGTTCTATGTAGTGAGTTCAAGGCAGCTGGGGCTACATGAAGACCCTGTCTCCAAAAAACAAAAAAAAGAAAAAAGGCTTTGAAGTTTTCTTAAGCTTTTTTAATTTTTTTCCTTTGAGATAAAGTTTATATACATGGAAAGGTATATATCTTTGATGACTTTTGGTAAGTATGTCTTTTACATTAATCAATACTCTGGTTAAGATGTAGGGCACTTATGTCACCCTAGACAGTTTCTGTATACCTCACCAGTTAATTTAAACCTCTATCACATACTCACTTTACCTGAGTTTATCACCACAGATCAGTTTTCCTTCTTGCTAAACATTGTATAGATAAATTTATAACAATCAGCATATAATCTCTAAATGGTTACTTTGATTAATTGTATTTTTTGAGATATGGACATGTGATTGTACATATGAGTAGCTTATTTTAGGTTTGATGAGAGATACTACAATTTGTTTATTCTCCTGTTGATGGGCATGTGAGCTACTTAGAGGGTTTTTTTTTTTTTTTTTAATTTGGTTGAGGGGTATTTTTGAGATAGGGTCTTCCTGTAGCCCCAGCTGGCCTGCGTTTCCACAGCTCTGGGTCGCAGTGCAGCTCCTGAGCCTGCCTGCGTCCCCAGCCGGTCAGTCTCAATAAAGTAGTTAAGTTCTCCTGAGTCTTAATGTCCGAGTGGTCAATTCAGGGAATTCTTCGGACCCCAAACATATTCATCCTAATCAGTGTGAAATTGTGTCTCATTATGGCTTCAATTTGTGTTTCTCTTATATCCTAATATGTTGAGTACCTTTTTATGAACTTACTTGTTATTGTTATATCTTTTATGTAGTATTTCCCTCATTTTAGAATTATTCTATTAATGCTTTATATAAATTTATTATCTTTAAAATTTTTGTTCCAGTTTTTCGTTTGGTTTTTAATTTTCTTAATGGTATTTTTTGATAACCAGAAGATTTTAATTTTGGTAAAGTCCTTTTGTCAAGTTTTTCTTTAATGAACAGGGCTTCCTGTATCTTAAGAAATCTTTGCTTATCCCAAGACTGAAAAGCTTTTCTGTTTAATTTTAGAAACCATATTTAGCTCTGTGATCTTCTTGAATTAATTAGATGTGTGTGTGTGTGTATTGGCCTTTTTTCCATGTGTATATCCAGTTGTTCTGGTATTATCTGCTGAAAGGAATTTTCTCAATGAAAAAAAAAAAAACTCAATAAAATCTTAAAACTGGCATCTTGCAGAATATATTCCAGACAGCAATAGAATTGGATTAGGAATCTACGGTAAAATACCGAAACCATTCCTAACCTAAGGGCCAAAGAAAGAAGGGAAAGAGGAAAAATGGAAAATATTTTTAACTTAGCAGAAAAAGTGATACCACAAAATTTGCGACATGAAGTCAAAGTAGTACTATAAGTTCTGTAAATGTGTACATTAAAACATAAGCCTTAAATCAGTACTGTTTTTAGCTTTGTAAAAAAGAGAAATTGGCCTCAGGACATAAAGGAAACTTAAAAATAAGAAAAGACATAAGTGAAATATGAAATTGACAAAGCAAATATTTGGCTCTTTGAAAAACCTATTAATAGTGATAAATCTCTAGAAAAATGATCAAGAACAATAGAGATAAATTGCCAATGTTAGTAATGAAGAATGAGTCATCACCATAGATCCTACAGACAATAACAGGAAGATGAGCCCTGTGAATCTGTATTGTCAAGTAAGTGAAGGTCGAATTTCCCAGAATTTTCTTCTTTGCATGTTTTGGACCGTTTGGACCATGTAAACAATTATGTGTTAAGAATGCACAGCTGCAAATATTTACAATTAAAAAGAACCCTGTTTCTAGTTTGAGAAAATGAGAAAGTTAAGCTCATAGTATAAAGAAAATAAGGAAATAGAGAATAGAAAATTTAGCAAATTATTTTCCTCATTTCATGTAGTTGTTTATATGTACTTTGTGTAACACTGATTGTGATGATTGTTTTAAATTCTTTATCAAGTAATTCATAAATTTATTTTTAGGGTTAATTTTTTCTTTAACTAGACCATGTTTTTCTATTTCTGTATATGCTCTGTAATTTTCTGTTGTGATTTCTGTTCAAAGCAAATAAGCACCTCCTCCAGTTTTCATGGCCTGGCTTTATGGAAGAGCTTCCTTCACCAGTCAGTCAGCCTGGCTAGAGATGCTGGGATACTCAAATTTGGGGCAGGGGATAGTCCCCCTCTGGGTTTTTGTGTGCAATTTCCTAACCAGTGGGGTTTGCTGTGCTGTTGTTGTTTGTGTGATAGATATTTTAGGAGCTCCTATTCTCTGCTCCTTCTGGTGTCTGTCTGTGGTACAGTAAGTGCTGTAGCCTGGAACAAGCTGCTTCATTTTTTTGTTGTTTGTGGCCCTCAGGCCTCCAAGGCATATCAGTTCTCTCAGTGCCCAAACTCTAGTGAGACAGAAATTAGTGCCTTGTATAGTGTTTTGGAATGCCAGAATATTAGACATATTAGACACGTGCTCCACTCTTTCCTCCCAGGGAAAAAACCTGAACACCTTCTCCCAGTCCTGTGGAGCTGTGCATGCTGCTGCTGAATCTTCTTTTGTTCTCAGAGGCCCTCAGGTATCCAAGGTGTGCTGATTTCTTCTCAGGCTCTGAAGAGACAGAATCAAGTCCTTCAGGCAGTACAGTGGAGGGCTGGAATGTTGGGCACATGCCTCACTTCTTTCCCTCCCAAGGGGAAGCTACAAGTTGGCCTTTTCTACTGGTCTCAAGGAGCTGTGGATGGCTAAAGTGAACAAGTGAACAGCTTTTCTTTTTTCTTTTTTTTTTTTTGGAAACACAAAAATGTTTTATTTTAAAAACATTGGAAAAACATTCAAAGACAAGTGTCCATTATATAACAAGAAATGTTAAATATGGAAACTGTGATCTTCTGAATGTGGTACAGACTCCCAGAGAGCTAAATACTACAAATTATCTTATCTCTAGTATCAGCAACACTTGATATGGTAAGAAATACCAAGGTCTTACTAATAATTATTCAGTCATCATCTTTGGGTTCAACTTATTTACGTAAGAGTTCTGTCCAAGATGTCCTGACACATGAAGTTCCTGTTGAATGTCAGAAAGGTTAACAAAAGTATCTTCCTTTTTTGCCTGTAAATGTTTGCATAGTGCTGTACTGTTGGCTTATATCCCGTACAGATACTGGTTCTAGGCCAGCCCAAGGATCTTCAAGCATTGAAGGCTTGCAATAACTTTCCAGCTCATTAGATATTCTTTTTTCTCTACCATGCCCTGATCCAAATGGTGTAGATGTCCTTGGAGAACCCTGGGGGTAGGTCTGCTGCCGCCCTGGGGAGTAGCTGAGTTGCTGCTGGGACCCCGTGGGGGACCTGGAGTAGGAGCCTGGGTAGCTGGGGACGGAGACCCGAAGCGGGCCCCCAGAAGCTGCCGCTGCTCTGTAGAGTATGGCAGCTCGGTATGGCATAGCCCTGGGCAGGCAGTGTGGTGCGGACTCCTGTACCCATCCCGAGGGAAGGGCGGCCACGGCCCCCCTCCCAGGGCACCCTGGAAGCTGCCTCCACCACCCCAACCTCCTACCCCTGGTCTGGGGTAAGGAGGAGTCAGGGGTCAAAAATTCCATCTGTGCATAGCTGGAACCGAAGCTGAAGAGCTCCCAGGCGCATTGTCTGACCCGAACCATAGCGACCTACAGCTGTGAATAGCTTTCTTATCCATTTCAGTGGTCCTAGACGTGGAGCTTACCTGTGCTGTGACTTGCTGACTGGCTTCTGGAGTTCTCAGAATGGCTTCTGAACCATGTTTGTGTTACGTCGTTGTCCCCGTTGCCAGTGGAAGCAGCAGTGGGCTTCCTACATCACTTGCTGCTGATGTTACTCAGCCTCTGTTTTGGGGGTTTTTTTTTTTTTTGGTCTTTTTGAAACAGGGTCTCCCTGTAGTCCCAGCTGTCCTGGAACTCACTATGTAGACCAGGCTGGCCTTGAACTCACAGAGATCTGCCTGCCTCTGCCTCCCTAGTGCTGGGATTAAAGGCATGTGCCTGTTTTTAATCTGTGATGTCAGCTGTCATTCACATGACTGTCCCCTTGTGTGTTGTAATATGTGACTTTTCACCTCTGGTTCTTCTTTGTTTTTAAGTCAGCTTTATTAAGGAATAACTTAATAATTATTCTTGATAATAGACACAATAAACTTTATCCACATGAAATTCTGAACATTGACAGTTGTATGCCACCATGAACCAACCACAGTCAACATGCAGGCATACCTTTCATTCTGAAGAAATTCTCCATGTCCCAGCCCAGTCTATATTTTCCGTACCTGCTATCTTGTTAATCACTGATCTGATATTTTAAAAAATTTTATGTGTGTGACTGTTCTGTCTGCCTGTATGTAAGTGTACCTGTGCATGCAGTACACACAAAGGCCCAAGGAAGGTGTCATATCCTCTGGAACTGGTGTTACAGACAGTTCTTAGCTGCCATGTGAGTGCTGGGAACCAAACCCAGGTCCTCTGCAAGAGTAGTTAGTGCTCTTAACTTTTGATCCATCTTTCCAGCCCCACACCAATCTGATTTTTGTCACTAGAAAT